CAGTGGTCTCCCAAAAGGCGCCGAATCGTTTTGGTTTCGGTCCCCGACCCCACCGGGAACCCCTCGCCTGATCTCGAAGTCAGTGCTCAGAACCTTGCGTCCCACTGGGGGCGGGTCCATGCCGCGAAGCCTCAGGACAGGGGATACCACTTCCAGAAGACACTGTTGAGCAGTGAGATTCAGCAGGTTGCCCCAGGTATCGAGTGGACGCTCGACCTGCATAGCTTCATAGGTAAGCTCGTCAGCCGCAAGGACAGCGCGACTGGCCCTGACGGAATTCCCTACAGTGCCTGGTGGTTCGCTGGAGACGCTGCTCACAATGCCTTGTATCAAGTTTATCTCGCTATATTGGACAATCCTACATATGGGCCCCCGCATAAAGGCTTCAACGAGTCTCTCACGGTATACCTCCCTAAGGCCATCTGCCCTCCCGAAGCTGGAACCTCTGAGATCTCTCGGGAAGCGTCTGTGGTGCGCCCTATTGCTCTCAGCAACACTGATAACAAAATAGTATCTTTGGCCATATGCGAACCATTTAGCCAACAATGCCAGTACAGCGTCTTAGGCTCCCAGACGGGTTTCGTGCGCAAGAGGTCTATGCTCGACAACTTGCTCTGCCTTGAGGCAGACATTCTTGAATACGCCTGCTATCGCGGCATGCCGCACGCTGGGCTACTCCTCTTGGATTTCCGCGCCGCGTTCCCGTCGCTGCGCCACGACTGGATCATAGATGTGCTAATCATGATGAACATACCCATGTATATCGTGAATGCCATTCGGTTCCTATACACCGGTATTTACACACATATGCCTAGCAGGAAAGAAGTTTCCAGGCTACTCGATCACCCAAGGCATTAAACAAGGATGTCCGCTGTCGGGTGCTTTATTTGCGTTATGCATCGACCCGCTGCTGCGCCGATTATCTAACTTGCTAGCTCCTGTTTGTGCTACCCCTCGTGCCTTTGCAGATGACATCCAGATCTCGGCATCCAACCTGTTGCTCGCTGTTCCGATTGTGCTGAAGAATGTTATTAGGTCCAGCCGTTGCACTGGCCTGCTCTTGAACCTTGCCAAGTGTATGATCGTGCACGTGCAAGAGATGCCAGACGACCAGCATTTCGCCCTGTTCGAGTCCGTTCGCACCAACGTTCGCTCGCTTATGCACGGCACTAGTGGCAAAGTCTTGGGTGTCTTTCTGGGCCCTGGAGGTTGCAAGAAATCCTGGTCCGCTCCGCTTCAGAAATATATTAATCGTGTCCGTCATGTTCGGTCGCTTCGTCTTGGGCTTACTCAAAGTATATATGCATATAACTCCTTGGCCTTCTCGGTTCTCACCTTCGTGATGCAGCTATGTTACATATCGCAGGACGCTCTTCGCATGGAAACCAAAGGTTTGCAGACTCTCACCGCATGCCCCTTCTACAGCATCCCTACTGATCTTCTCCGCAATCTCTCGTCTGCGTTGCATTGGCCCATTGCCCCGCGCAACCTAGTGCTGGAGAATCAGGCTGCCATGTATCGGGTCGCTGTTCGGTCTAAGGTTTTTGATAGCATTCGGAAGCGCTTTCATGAGCTTGAGGAAGAGGACTTGGATGTTCTGATGGTCAAGCGATACCCGGCATGGCGTGCCGAGTCCATTGTTTTCCACCTGATTCACAATTACGAGCGACTAACTGCCCTGCCGTGGAACCACTTCGATGAGGACACTCACGAGTTGCAGAGACAGATTTTGAAGAAATTGCTTTCTGAGGCCCCTTGTAGCTCCGCGAGTTTTCTCCTGGGCAATCGAATTCGGTTCGCTTTTCCTTTTGCTGATGCCTCTAGTATCGACCTTGCGGTGCTCAGGCTCCAAATTGCTTGCACGCGCGTCGGCCCATTTGTGGCTGCGGCCATTCTCAAAACCATCTGCAACGCGTGGGCGACCTCTGCCAGGTATAGGCAAGGCCGTCTTACCTGCCGTTTCGGTTGCCTGGCCACAGGCGGCGACCACGTCCAGCATTACTTCGATTGCCCTCATGTCCTGAGCTTGCTCCATTCTGTTTTGCCCTTCCTGCCAGTCGAATATTTGAATCAGAGCCTCGATGCGCGTATGCTGTGCACTATGCCATGCCAGTCTAGTCAGCAGCTGTTCTCTTTGTTTCTTGTCCACGACCTGCTTTTTTCTACCTTTAACTCCTTGAGGAGCTCGCACAGGTACGGGCCCGAATGCCTGCTGCCTCTCCTGCGCGCGCGTGCCCGCCACATTGCCAAGAAGGGGCGCGGCGTGCGGAGCCTGCTCATCAGGAGGCCCGCGGCAGGGGGCAGCTGAACTGCCCCCCTCTCTGGCGCGCTCAGGGGAGTGCGATCATCATCATCATCATCATCATCATTATCATCATCGTCACCATCATCAACACCACCACCATCATACTCGTCATCATCACCACTATAATTGTCCGCGGCATTGTTGTCGGAATCGCCGCCATTAGCATCATCACCTCATCCTCATCCGAATCACCATCATAATCATGCTCATCGTGATCTTCATCACCATCATCACCACCACCACCACGATCATCCTCATCATCATCATTATCATCATCGTCAGCATCATCATTAGCAGTCTCATCATCAGCATCACCATCGTCACCGACATTTTCATCATCATCATCAGCATCATCATCATCATCATCATCATCATCCTCATCATGGCCATCCCGATCAGTAGCACCCTCATCAACGCCACCATCGTCACTAACGCCATCCTTCTCATCATCAGCAACATCATTATCAGCATCACCAGCACCAGCACCAGCAACGTCATCATGATCACCATCATCATCATCATCAGCATCATCATCATCATCATCTTCATCATCATCATTATCATTATCATCAGTATGATCGTCGTCGTCATCATCACCGTCATCATCATCAACATCAGCATCATCACTATCATCATCATCATCATCATCATCATCATCATCGTCACCATCATCATCATCATCATCATCATTCGTAGCCATTTTGGCTCAAGCCTTCGGGCCAGCTTCCATCGGGCGGCTGGTGCGGTCTGTGATGGCGCGGGAGGCGGCCCCCTCGCGGGAGGCCGCCGCTGGCGGCGATGTGTGCAGCCCGTGTGCGGCACGGCGGCAGAGGCGCCGGGCTGGCCAGGCGTGGGCCCGTTGGTCGGGGGACGTGTTCGTCCACGACCTGCAGCGGGCGGTGCGCTTCTGGCGGAACCGCTACAAGAAGTTGGTGGAGCCGTTGGGGGACCCCGACACGGCGGAGGGCCTGGCGGTGGTGGCGGTGCACCTGAAGCACATGGCGCACGGCAGCGCCATCGAAGCGCCCGTCGACACGCTGCGGAGGAACGTGGCGCTCCACGCGGCGTTGGCGCCCTGGCCGCTGGGGACGGCGACGGCGTGCTCGCTACGCCGAGCCCAGAAAGGGGCCCAGGCTTGTGGCGCGCTGTCGGCGGCTGGCCTCGCTGCGTGCGGGGTGGACATCCTTGGCTCGGCCAGGCTTGCTGAGGGCGGCGCCGCGCCCGCGCAGGAATTGGCCGAGTCCCCGCCCGACTCGGCCATCCCGCGCGCGGGCGCGGGCGTCGTTGCCGCGGAAGCTGCAAGGGCCGCTGGGGTCGACGCGGCGCACGACGGCGAGATCGGGGCGGAGCTTGACGGCCACGACCCTTTGCTAGCAGTGCCGCCTTTCCCGTTGCTCGTTAAGGAGCTCAGTGATCATGGCACGATCGCGACGCACGGGCTCGCTGCGAAGCAGGGCGGGGCTAGCACGCAGTGGCAGTTGCGAGAAGGAGCTGGCGGTGAACCGGAGCCCACACGCGATCAGCTACAGCTCGTAAGTCAGCGCGGCACTCGCATTGCGACTTGGAACGCCCGCGCCGAGATCGCCACGGAGTGGCTGGCGGGCGGCCCCCATAGCAGGCGGCCCGAGGAGGCGCTCGTGGGCGCGATCGGGCACGAGGAGGAGCACGGCGCGGAGGTGATGCTCGAGGGGGAGCTCATGGCGGCGGCGGCGGCTGCGGAGGCGGACGACGACTCCGCCACGCCACCTCCTCTGCCAACTTGCGCGGTGAACTACCTTTGGGGCGCCTGGAGGACGCCACGAAGGGCATCGAGACCACCGCGAAGTGGGATGGTACCCGCGCGGCCAAGCACGGCATGATCATGTAACGAATCTCACAACTGGAGGCCATCTACGGGGAGGCCCAACGGGCGTTGGACGGCTCCGACGACGGGGGCGACGATGAGGCCGAGCTGGGGCGCTTCGGGGTTCAGAAAGCGCTCGAGTCTGCTTGGCTGCACAGCGACACGCTGGAGAGCGAGGGGCCTGTCGAGGCCGCCGCGAGGCTAGCGCTTCACTGCCATGTCAGATTGCAGTTTGGGGTATATCTGTGTGGAAACCCTGTGTAGGGTGCCCGAGGACCCCGGGTAGTGGTGCGCAGTTGAGCTTCGGGTAGCTCTGTCCTCGCCTGCGCAGCGGGCGCGCGCGCCCGTGGGAGGGGCCAGCCCGAAGTGCAGGAAGGCGCGCGGTGGCATCTGCAGGAACGGAGGGCGAGCGCGACACTGCGCCGCCCCTCCTTGGGAGAGCGCGATCATCATCATGACCATTATCATCATCATCGTCATCATCATCATTGCGTCCATCATCATGTTCACCGTCATCATTATCATCGCCATCATCATTCTCATCGTCGTCATCGTTATCCTCATCGTCGTCATCACCATCGTCATCGTCATTGTTTTCACCATTTTCATTGTCATCGTCATTGTCATCGTCGTTTTCTGTCCGTGCCTGTCCGCCTCCATCTCTGCCCTCTCCCCGATCCCCCTCATCATCATCATGGTCATCCTCCTCCTCATCACCATCACCATCACCATCACCACCACCACCACCCTCCTCACGCCCCCGCCTCAGCGTCGTCGCCGTTGCCGCGGCCTCCACCGGCCCCTTCCTCCCCTTCCCCATCGGCCCTGCCCAGTCGGCGGAGCACGCGTCAGGCCCCCACCGGCACCATGCTCCGCAACCGCACCAGCCTCAGCCTGTCGTCGCAGCGTTGCTGCCGCCAGGCCGGGAGGCCGCGGGCCGGAGCGGAAGGACTTCTCCGCACCGCTGCGGGTGCATCGCCCGGAGGAGGAGGAGGAGGAGGCGGAGGAGGAGGAGGGGGAGGGGGATGATGATGATAATGATGATGATGATGATGATGATGATGATGATGATGATGATGATGAGGATGATGAGGATGATGATGATGATGATGATGATGATGATGATGATGATGATGATGATGGTGGTGATGATTCTGGTGATGATGATGATGGTGATGATTCTGATGATGATGCTGATGATGCTGATGATGATGATGATGAGGAGGAGGAGGAGGAGGAGGGGGAGGGGGATGATGGTGCTGATGATGATGATGATGATGATGATGATGATGATGATGATGATGATGATGATGATGATGATGATGATGATGAGGAGGAGGAGGAGGAGGAGGAGGAGGAGGAGGAGGAGGAGGCGATGCCAGGGGCGCACGCCCGTGGGGCGGGCACTGCACGTATCCCTCCGGAAAGCCTCGCCGAAGATGTGGACCATTGGCGCCTCTGGATACGCTCACGGCTCCCCTGCTTGGCAAGTCTTCCCGATCGTCGCCGCCGAGTTGCTGCGGGCTGCGGGAGGAGCGCGTGCAGCCAGGAGGGGCTGAGCACGAGGAGGACGAGGAGAGGAGGATGCAGTCGGCGGCAGTGCCCCCGGGCCCCTCGGGACCGCTGCGTCCTGCCCTGCCTGCCAGCAGAGAGAGAGGCTATTTGGTGCCTTGGCTGCCAGGATGCACGGGATGAAGAGGAGTCGGGGCTCAAGAGACGGGGGTCATTGCAAACGGGGGTCAGCCAGGGCACAGGATCCTGCAGGATCCTGCGAAGACCCCCTCTGGCTGACCCGGGTTAGCGAGTCGCTCGTGGCCGCGAGGCGGCCGCGCATCGTGGCTGACCCGGGTTTGCGAAGACCTGCGTTGTAGTTTTTCTTTATTGCATTGCAGTTTTTGGTTTCCTCCTGACCCGGGTCTGGATTCACCCAGGTCAGAAGATCCCCGAAGGAGAGGAAGAGAAGGCCGGGTGGGTGGTCCTGCTGCGGCCTGTAGCTCCTGGTGATACCTGGGGGCGATCCAGGCAAGGCGCCACCTTGGAGGCAGCCGAGAGGTTGACATCTCGCCCTCGGCGGAGGCTGGTGAATAGCCCGCGGCAGCGAGACATCGGCAGCCGAAGCGGACGCAAGTGCGTGCATGCATGCGGCAAGCAAAAGTTCCTTGTCCCCCCCCTACGACTCAAGAGAGGTCAAGGCCTTCTCCCGCAACCCTGCTTCTCCCTCCCCCTCCCTATTATTCCTCATTCCTCCCCCCTCCTCCTCCTCCTCGCCACTGCAGAGGGGTTTAAAAGCTGGCCGGGGTGTGATGGGGTGTGCTATAGGGAGGGCAGAGGGAGGGTCGGGCGGGGCTAGGACGAGGATACATCCGTCCCAGAGCGCTCCGGAACGCTCTCAGAGCGTTCCAGAAGGCTCCGAGAAGGCCGCGGCGCCCAAGGCATCCTCCAGAGCTGCCGGATCTCCGAGATTCTGTATCTCTTACTCGCCCAATGTTATCCTCGCCCTGGCTTCGTCTTAGAGGGGAGTCGGTTATTCTAGCCCGCCCCCCCCGGTAGAAATTGGTTTCCCAGGCATGGTGTGTGTATTTTTGCCCTCCCCCTCGGCGGTTTCTCCCCCTGCTGCGGGGCCGGCGCGGGCCCTCCCTCACGTACACGAGCTGGCTGCAGCCCGTCCAATTCATCATCGACTACACGTAAGAGTGACCTTTCGCCAGGCTGACCTGCAGCTCGGGCCCAACGGGGTCCCCCGAGCACCGAGCACGACGCGATAGTAGCATCTTGCGCGCCTGGGTTTGGTCCCCCCGCGGCCTCCGAAGAGCCGCGCACCAGAGGTCAATCTTACCCAGGGTCACTCTTGCGTGTAGCCGGTCATCAGTATGGAACGAATGCAGTCGACACTGAGATTCACACCCGTTCCCTCCTCCTCATCCTCCTCCTTCTTTTGGACCTGCCTCTTCGGAGGGAGGCCACCGTCCTGAATAGTCCGAGTCCTAGTCCTCCTCTTCCTGGTCGACGTCGTCCTGGATCACGTGATGCACCTGGCGCGCGCGGAGCACGGTGAGGGCACCTTATGCCCTCACCGGCGGGTGTCAGAAACAAGCTCGGGCTGGTTGAACGCGAATGCATTTGCAAGGAAGCCTGCGTCCGCAGACCAACGGCGATAAAAGCATTCCCCCACCGTCGGCAAGCCTGCCTGCCTGGCTGTAGCCAGGCTTCCAGACCCTGGCTCCCTTATCAAATGGTTCCTTCTTCAATGCCCTCACCGTAGGCAATCCTGTCTGGCCCAGGCTAGGCTTCCAGATCCTGGCTTCCGTATCCAAAAGGATTCCTTCCCACTGCCCACACCGTAGGCAACCTTCCCTGCCTGGCCTGTGCCAAGCTTCCAGATCCTCGCTTCCGTGTCCACTGGTTCCTGATCCATTGCCCTCATCGTAGACAAGCCTGCCTGGCACGGGCAAGGTTTCCACATCATGGCTTCCTTATCCGAGGGTTCCTGATCCAATGCCCTCACCCCTCCGTAGCCATTTTGGCTCAAGCCGGTCTCAAGCCCCTGGCTGCCATCTGCCTCCGCTCATGGCCGGTCCGGGTGCAGCAGCTGCTTGAGGAGATGGTGACGGGAGGGGACCCCCGCAGGTCCCCACGCTCACGCGCGGAGCGCAGCGAGGCTGCGCGGCGGGCGCGCTCGGCGGCGGACGCCGCCGTGCGGCATGCCCGAGCGCGGGTGGAGGAGCTCGTGGAGCGGCTGGCCCTCGCCGAGAGGACGCTGGAGGCCTTCACGGGCGATGCTGAGCTGGCCGACAGGCTCGCCGCGGTGGTGCCTGCGCTGGGCGCGCTGGTCAACGGCGAGCAGCCCTCCTGGCTGGCGCGGCTCAGGAGGAACGTCGCGCTGCACGCCAAGGCGGGCGCCATCAAGGGGCGCATCGCAGGGGCGGCGGCGAACGAGCTCAGGAAGGCGCAGAAGCAGGAGCGCCTCGGGAAACCCCCCTTCCTCAACCCCTCGGCGACGGAGGAGGTGCACGAGGACAAGGCGGGGGCCGCGCAGAAGCAGGGGCATGCGGCTCGGCAGGTGCAGAGGATGCTGCACGAGAGAGAGCTGCCCCAGGCAGCGCCCGAGGACGTCCTGGGCGCGAACTGGCTGGCGCCAGGCTGCTGGCAGCCAGGCGACCCCGAGCTGGAGGCGCGGGCCTTCGGAGAGGGATTCGCATGTGGCTGGCGGCTGGCGGCGCGGCGCGCGGAGGCCTCGGAGGGTCCCCCTGCGGCTGAGGCCACGCAGGTGGTGACCATCTGGACTTGCTGTCTGGAGGCGGGGACGCGGCCCGAGATGCACGGCATCGGGATCGAGCTGCGGCGCCTCCCCAAGGACAACCAGGCCCCGCCCGAGCCCACGGCGGCGAGCGACCACTCGATAGAGTACGGCGTCCGCCTGGGCCCCACGCAGCGGCAGCAGGGCATCGACGGCGATGGCGAAGTGCTGCCGCTAGCGGCCGAAGGCGGGAGCGGCGGGCCGCTGCTCGAGGGCCCCCAGGGCGCTGCGGCCGCCCGCGCCCGCGACCTCGCCGAGCTCTACGCCGCCTTCGTGGAGGAGATCGGGCGCCGAGCGGTGGCGGGGCCCTAGAATGCCTGCATGAAACCGCCGTGCTCGCGCGGCGCCTACACAGATAAAAAAAAAATGCCCTCACCCTGGCCCGGGCCAGGTTTGCGGACCCTGGCTCCCTCATCTGATGTTTTCTGACCCACATGCCTTCGCCATGGGCAAGCCTGCCTGCCTGCCTGGCCTGGACCAGGCTTCCAGACCCTGGCTCCCTTATCCAATGGTTCGTCGTTCAATGCTCTCACCGTAGGCAAGCCCGCCTGGCACGGTCAAGGCTTCCAGATCCTGGCTTCCTTATCCAATGGCTCCTTATCCAATGCCCTCATCGTGAGCAAGCCTGCCTGCCTGGCCCGGGCCATGCTGCCAGACACTGGCTCCCTGATCCAATGGTTCCTGATCCAATGCCCTCACCGTAGGCAAGCTTGCCTCCCTGGCCCAGGCCAGGCTTCTAGACCCTGGCGTCCTCATCGGATGGTTTCCTTATCCACTGCCCTCACCGTTGGGAAACTTGCCTGGCCCAGGCCCGGGCCCGGGCCCGGCTTCCAGATCCTGGCTTCCTTATCCAATGGCTCCTTATGCAATGCCCTCACCGTTCCGTAGCCATTTTGGCTCAAGCCTGTGCTCCGCCCGCTTCAGCGCGCGCGGGGCCGCTTGGGATGGCACGGGCGGAGTCGCCCCATTGCGGCGATTCCAGCATAGAAGCATGCGGCCGGCGATCGAGAGCGACGCGGACGGCAGCACGGAGGAGGGCCTTGGTGGCAGCCGACGCGGGGCTTGCAGCAGCTCGTGCTCAAGTTCGAGCACTCGAGGAGCAGCTGCGGCGCAAGACGTCGGAGTTCAACCAGCTGCTGCGGCACCTGGGCTACGGGGATCACCCTGACCCTCATGCAGACGAACTGCGCCAGCGGTGGATGGGCATCGAACCGGTTCTTCGAGCCCAGATCGAGGCCCGCGATGGCGTGGCGGCCGCCCCGCTCACCGACGTGGACATCCTGCGGCGGAATGTTTCTGAACATTCGGCAGTCGCGCCACGGGCGGCGGCCAGCGGCAGGGAGCTCAGGCGCTTCCAGAAGTCCGCGAGGCTGGCGCCGCCGCGGGCGCTGCGGCAGGAGGCGCGCGGCGTGCAGCTCCGCAGGGAAAGCCCAGCTTTCATTCCAGGTGCGGGAAGCTGGGAGCCGTTGCACGGCATGGGCGAGGCGGCGGCTGGCCTGCGCTGCACATGCGGCGCGGTGGTCTACAGCCAGTGGGAGCCCTTCGATACGAAGACGCTCGGCAAGGACGGCCAGCACGCGCAGCTTCTCGGCAGCGAGCAGAGCATCGGCAGTTGCGAGATGCAGGAGACGCTCGACGGCCTCACGGAGGAC